TTTCCGAGGGTACCAAGGCCGTTACGAAATTCACAAGCTCCTGAAAAATTTCCTAGGGTTTCCGATTTCTTATGTTGTTTGCAGTTTCAATTTAGGGTTTTTGTATAAATGGTTTATTATTATTCGAATCTGTAAAACAGACGGTTAGTAATTTATCTATGAAAATTCGACTTTCAGTTCGTAGGATTCTGGACTCAAATCGTCTCCTGGTTCAGTTTTTGATTTTTTTTTTCCCTTTTGCTTTAAATTAGAACACTATTTGATGCATTTTTGAGGGAATATTGAATAGTTTGTCTCGACTCTTTTTACCCTATAGTAAGCTAATCAACTATTAAAAAGGAACAAATAAATCCTCAATTGCACATTGAATTATTAATTATGGAATTTGTCTAAATAAATCCTATCAATTATGGCCCTTAAGACTATTAAAAGAATTGATTAGGAGTCTTCTGCTGCACAGAGGCGTCACTCGAGGATTTTAAGCAGGTGGGCAGCCCGTCTGGTCTTGTGGATGTGGCGGGAGCTGGAGGACGAGCACTCCTTGAACCATGCAGAGGAGAGATTGGGATAGCAGAGAAATGTGGATTCTAATACAATTGCATCAGTTCAAATATGTCAGAAAGCAGGGAGAATGATAATCAGGGTAGTCTCGAGGGTGCTAATTTGCTATTGAGAGCGAGAATGACTATACAACTTGGACACATGATCAGGGTGGCTTGCAGAGTGAGAATAGGGGCCTTTTACAATTCTAGTCTGCAGCAATCTCCAGATATTGGGGAAGTTGAGAGGGAGAGGGTGAGGCAAATTGTTTGGGGATGTATGGAGAGTGGCATTAGCGTCCAGAACCTATTGTTATGCCAAGGAATGGCACTCCTAGGTCTGAATGGCTTTTGGGAAAACGGAGCTTGAGAGGGTGAGGATTGTGAGAGAGTGGATGCAAATGACAAGTCAGCACAGAGCATCCCATAGCAGACACATGGAAGGACCAGATGATGGTCTTGGCACTCAGATTGACCACGCTCACGATGGGTTTCTTGTGGACGAGGAAGATCAGCCAGAACATATTCGGAGATACATGTTGAAGCTGCGGGGAAGACAAGCTCTACTTGATTTACTAGTAAGAATTGAGAGCGAAAGGCAGCGGGAACTTCAGGGTCTGCTGGAGTCTGACTTTGCACATCTTAATTGTATTCAGGCGAGGATATACTGCTCTGGAATTGCTCAATTTCTTTCACCGTTTCACTTTTGCTGCGACATCCTAATTGTAATGACCCAAATGTTTACCTTTGGAATCACTATATGTACTGTAACAGAATGTTTTCATAAACAAAAGAAAAAAAAACACAATATTTTCTTATCACGTGAGGACTTAAAATTAGTTTTAAGAAAAATACAATAAACATTAAAATTCTTAATTTTTGGAAGAGTTTACATCGGGCTATGAGAACTAAAATGAACTTTAGTACAACTTTCCACCCTTGGATGGACAGTCTGAACGGACAATTCAAATATTAGAGGATATGCTACGATTGTGTCTTTGAGTTTGATGGACATTGGGAAAAATATCTACCTTTCATGAATTTGTATACAACAATAGCGACCATGTCTCCATTGACATGGCACCCCATGAGACTTTGTATGAGAGGAATTGTAGATTAGGATGAGGTTGACGAACGTAAGATCTTGGGCCCGGAAATTGTAAAGCAGACAATATAAGTTATTGAAAAGATTAGAGTTAGCATGGAAAATGCCCAAGATAGACAAAAAAATTATGCAAATGAAAGGAGAAAGAATTTGCGGTAGGAGATAAGATAGTCTTAAAAGTTACACCCATGAAGGCCTTGAAGGGGGTACCATGATTTGATAAAAAGAGTAAGCTCAGACCAAGATACATTGGTCCTTTTGAAATTTTAAAGGGGATTGAAAATGTTGCATACAAATTAGCTTTACTCATTCGTTATGTGTTAAAATTTTTATAGGTAACTAAAAAGACGGGTTTAGAGATGGCAACCCCGCCCCGCCCCGACGGTGCCCCGCCCCGAGCGGGTTGGCTGGGCGGGGCGGGGCAAGGAGGGCCTCCCCGCCTCGGGTCGTGGGGCGGGGCGGGGCGGAG